ACGACACAGAAAAGAGTAGTAGGCGGTCCTCGCGCTGGCGCACTCGCAACGTCGATATCATTTCTTCTTTTCCTGTATTGTCTAGTCACTTTGCTCGTCCGCCTCCACCTCCTGAATATTTGCTTTCAAAAGTCCCGCCCATTCATGCCTATCACCATCATGCCTGCCGCCGTAATCTCGTCGCGAGCAAAGTTCCCTCGTTCTCAATTTTTTTCTCACCAAAATTCTACAAACTGCAAAATGGCACTTCAATTCGCAGCTCGCTGAGAATAATTCGATCGAAATTTTGGTGAAACATGGTCGCAGACTGTGTTCACGCACGTATTCTTTTTTTTTAATCAAGGGTCAACATTTTGAATAGTTTCGAACGGTCAAAGAACATTTACCCCCATAAGAACGCGGATCGATCTTCCTTTGTCCGATGGTTAACAATGCAGCATCGCTTCGCGCACAAAAGATTCGGCAGTACAGCGACCCAATGTTAATTTATTATTATACTCGTCGAGTGGCGACGAGCGGTTAACTTTTTATCGGAGACCGTGGATGGGACGATAGGCAAATTCGATGAAAGATGGTTGCACGATCGCTCGATTTGCCTCGTACGCGATACTCTGATATCGATAGCTCGCTTTAGGGGAACGAAGTACGTAGGTATTTGTCTCTAAGTTCCTTTACGTTGCTCCAGATTTTACTCGGTAAGAACACAGTTGAAGAGAGAGTTATTCAATTTCGTTGGTAACGTCCATATTTCATAATAAGACACGCGTCAAATCAGGAAATCCCAGGACGAAATCATTGTAAAGAGGCAAGAAGTGCCGCTTTGATTCTCCGTTATGGCTGTCAGGGTGCGCGTTTTGCACGGGGGATGATTTATATCGTGTTCGCGATTTATAATAAAGCTTCTGCTTCCCACGGTCTGCCACGCCCCGACGACGGTTCCAAGGGATCTAGTAATCTGTAAGACAAAATCCGTTAACAAAAACGCTTGACTCACAAGTCGACGAAACAATAGACCATCCATCCACGGACTTACCCTCTGTTTCGTCGAGAATGAACTCGGACGAGATGCGAAGGACTCAGGGCCGTATCAAGATAATTGGCTTCTCACCGCATACTTTTACAGCTACAATAGAGGGATGATATATTCCATATCGTGTCTACAAATTGAAAAGAGACAGAGGAAATACAAATTGTTCAATCGCTCGATTCACAATGCATAGTAGCATGTTTATTTATTCTATTGCCAGTTAGTATTTAATTTATTGCATTGCTAATTAGATGTCATTGGCATTTCTCTTGCTTGTTCCTTGTTACGAAAACTTCCATCAGTTAACATGACAACGTGTTTAAATAAAAAAATTGTCGTTTTACGATGCAACCATTTATCTTTCAATTTGTGGCGTGTCAATCTCCCTGTTGTATTTTCTAACCAACTGTACGAAATGCGTCTTCGGTGGGAACTTGGAATTTGCGTGGAAGGAAAAACCGATCTCCCGTTAGGCGTTTTGATATTCGATCGCGATCGACTATCAGTTTCTCCGATCCAGCATTCGTTTAGAGGTACAGTCTCCTCTCGGGACGCGCATTGTGCTGGAGAACAGACAGGAAATTTTTGAAACTGATAGGAAGTAGAAAGAGAGAAGAGAGCCCATCTCGAGCAAACCGCAGGAATAATCGCGGAATCCACCTACCACGCGCGTTTCAAAGGCGCATCATCCCATTGAGGGTTGAGTCTAGCCGCGGCACCGGAAGTCGTATCCGAGAGGAGACAAAGCCAACGAAACGTACGCGCCGAGTGCCGTGGAACGAGGTAGGGGAGCGTGGGGGGAGGGAGAGGTTCTGTTTCATCGGTGCTTTTGTCTCGCATCCTGAGAGAACACGATTGAATAAGGAGCGACTGAATAGATCGGATGATCCTAAGGTAGGTCAGTCCATTCTCGTTTTGCGGGAGACTCCTGCTACCTCCGATCCCACCTCTTCTTCTTCTTCTTCTTCTTCTTCGTCTTCGCTTCTTCTTCTTGTACCTCGTACAGCGCGCTTCCACCTCCGGACAGTCCCAATTAAAAACGATTCTCGATTCGCTCGACCCACACTCGGAGAATAATAAAATCGCTTGTTCTATATCTCTGCTCCGTTGAAAATTTCCCGTGTGTCGTTTCTGTTATCGTTCAGGTCTGCTCCGTCGAGAACGGGGCGGACCGTCGCACGGATGAATTTAAGGACAGTTAAGCATTACGTTTCACCGGTGACACAGTGTTCCAATAAATTTCTGTCACGTACCTACGTTTTGCATACAAATACAACATATATGCATAACACGTATGCAAGTCACGCGAACGACTCGATGCAGTTGGGAATTTTTCCTAACGAAGTCGACCTGTCGCCTAATGAAATGATCACCTCGCGCGACGAAGGTATTGACCGTTATAAGTTAATTAGTCACGATCCGTGGCTGGCAAGCGATCGAACCTTCACGAGTCCTCGGGGGACGTGGAAGGGATCGTCGCGGAATGGAAGACGAAGGGGATACGAGCGAGCGGCAATGAAATCGTGGGATCCTAATCTATCGTGACGTCACGAGTTTGGCAAAGTGCTGCACGGTTATTGGACGACTGGACGTGATCGATTCGAGCCGTATGAATTAAAATACCAACAATACCCTCTCGAGTAACTGCACGCGGCCATGCAAATCCGATAACAGAAAGTACGAACAATCGTCTCTGCTCCTTCTTCCAGGTTTTCCTCTTCACCCTTTTCTTCCAGCCTCCGCTTCTTCTCCTCCACCTCCTCTTCCTCTCGCTCTCCCTCCCCCCACCCTCCGTCCCTTCTACCGACGCACGGCAATAATTCCGCAAGTCTTCCTTGACTCTTTTCTTTCCCGCTCTCGCCTCCGCCAATTAACGATAAGGTCGCTCTGTTTGTCATTTGTTTGCCGTTTCCGGCGGAATGCAAATAAACCGGGGTGAAACAAACACGGCCAATCAGCCGCGACGGACAAACGCATCGAGAGGCGGCTAGATCCCTCGGCATCGAGCCGCGTTTCCACTCACAATAATGCCGATAATTGGTCGTTCAAGGTAGAATTGAATTCCCCGCTGAATTCCCTCTTCCCCGCCTTCCTATGCGCCCGGCTAGAACATTAATCGATGGCACAACGTATGCATCCACGACCCAACGTGTGTAAATATTATCGATCGATAAAAATCTGACAATTTTTCGATCCGACCGGCCAACAGCAAAAATCATCCGTAGCCTGTGTATAATTTAGGCTTCGGACCACCACCGTGTGTTGCCATTCGAAAGCACGCTCGAGCGATAAGCGTGCCATTGTTAGCCGTAGCTGGCTATTGAACGATTAATCATCTAATTAGGCATTCGTTGCGCGGGCCAGACCCGTTATCTCGATTCCTTTCCACCACAACCATCGTTCCCCTGATAAATATCCACTTCTTGCTGGCGATCGCGCGCCTGCGAACTTGCCGCCGATTCGAAACGCCGGTTTCGCGCGTTCGCGTTGCCCCATCGGTTTTATCGACGTTGTTCAATGAGAAGGGAAAAGTCACAGGGAGCGTGAACTCTCGCGATTTGGAATCGACTGCTGGGCCGCTGGCATCGAATTCGCGCCGGCAGACAGGTAACTCGCGCCGCGCCTGAATACGACTGACACGTCGTACCGGCGAGCCGCCCGATTGCCTCAGTGCCAAAGCGAGCTAGAGTCAACATTTATTCGCCTCGATATTTCGAGCCCCGCCTGAAAAGGAGCCGTGTCGAATGCACCGCTCTTGTTTTTACTCATGCAGATGAAAACTCTATTGGAAGGATTTTATTCGACCTGTTGTAGTTTTTGTTATTTCTCTCTCTCTCTCTCTCTCTCTCTCTCTCGTTTTCTTTTTCTCTGTTTCTCTGTTGGATTTCTCCCTCTATTCCCTGTGAAGGGATCGATGCCCCCGGAATGAAACATTTTTATTGATAGGAAATGTCTCTGTAGTCTCTAGTTCGATTAGGTTCACAGCGTAAAACACGCGTAAATAACTGTCTTGTTATGAGCCACGGTACAGAGGGGTAATGACGTCTGCTCAGTCATTTATATCTCGATGTTTATTCATTTCCTCGATATTTGGCGAAATTGCCTGAACACGTTACTAGAAATTGTTACGCAATTGTTGCGCAATTTTTCAGCAAGCGTTGGCAATTTCACTGGCTGCGTTTACAACCGAGATATTGGAGCTAAGAGTCCTCTTTTATTTCGGCGGTTCTCGGTACGGCATTCGCGCGCGTGAAGAGAACCAAAAGGAAACGAGCGTTCGCGGAGGCGTGCATACGCGAAGCAAGAAAGAGTCGAATACCGTAACGGATGAGCACGCGTGTTCGTGCATGAACTTTCGTACATTAAGAGCCATCCTTGTCATTTTTGTCTTCCGCCGTAACAAACGCTCTCTCCTCTTAATCTCGCACGACTTTTTCAAACTCTTCGTTGTCACGGTGTCACGACACCAACGTCGAGTCTGTCCTTATACGTGTCCGGGTAAAGATCGAATGCATCTTATGCGTGGAAAGAAAAGTTTTCAGTTCCCAACGGCATTTATAACTTTGAAATGGCATGCAGCCAGAGCCAGAGCCAGAGCGGGAGACATGCAACGCGAGAATCACGAAAGATAAATCGATAGGACATTAATTAATGTCGAGGACACTTGACCAAGATGATATGAACGTACATTCAGAAGCGAGTTCACGATTGTTGGAAGGTGTTGTGAACTCGGGCCACTTTCTCGAGGTGTTCGCGTGTCTGGCATTGTTTTACGAGGCTCATTTCCCGCAACGTCATTCCACTACCACCAGCGCTTTACTCCCGTCAACGTTACCATCACTTTTCGCTGGTCAGTTCGCGATCTGAGCTTCCACTGGGTTGAACAGAATTTTAGGATTAGAATCGATCTGACGATTCTCCTGTGAGAAACTCGCGGAAAAATTCGCAGCCGATAACGCGAACTCTCGCGTTAATTCGCTTCTCTGGTCGTGCAAGACACAAAGTCGAATATTTTCATGGAGGTCATTGCGGGGTTTAGTGACAAAGCGTACGCACGTGTAGTACGTGAAAATGCATTGGAAACCCTTTCAACGTAAAACGTAAGAATCGCGAGGTGTAATTCGTGGGTACCACGAATGTAACGTAATTTAGACGTAACATTCTTTTCGCTCGCAGATAACTTTAACAACGGTAGGCCCTAGCCTCTTCCATCAGATAACGACCTAATGAATCTAGTATTAAAGGGAATCGAATTCTCGATAACGTCAAAGCGCCTCCCTCTGTTCCGTAACATAATAACTTCCATTCTCATTTCCTTGGTGTCCGGCATGAGCGTAAGATTTTCCTGATGACAATCGGCTCTTTCGACCGTGTACTTCGGGGCTCTCGTGCAGCGCGAAAGTGTCCCTACGTAGAGGAGAGTACACCGGTCGCACGAAGAACCCGCTCGGTGTTAGTTGGACTGAGAAGTAGGTAGTCGATGTAGGAATGACACGACCGGTTATCTCACTGGCCACGCGATATTGTCATCAGGGGCGGGAGGGGATAAAAGTAGTTAGCGGGAAGGAAGGAGAAAGGGGTGAAAGAAAGAGCAGGATGAAAGAAGGGGAGTGAAAGGTAGCGGAGGAAAAAATGAAGAAGGAAGGACAGGGGGAGGGAGAGAGGACGCGATAAGATCATCTTACCACCCCCTTTGGCATAAGTCGACAGTGGCCTTTCCCTGCCCTGACCAACCCCCTCCGTGACTCGACGGAGACCATTTCAACGATAGCACACACAACCTTACTCGGCCACCGCGTTATCTCGCACGCGAATTAGCTCTACAGATTTCCTTTTTTTCCCCCCTTTCCCTCTCCTTCCCTTCCTTTCCCTACCCGCTACTTCTATCTTTCTTCCTCTCGTTTCTACCCTCTTCCTTCTCCTCCTTCTGCTTCTCTGCTTTCCGTGCCCCACGCCTCCATCTTCGTCTCGCTCGCGCTGCCACTTCTAGTCGACGACACGTTGCGACAACGCCGAAGGAGGAAAACCTCTTACACACGACACACGACACATCGCGCACGACCGCTGCCCCCTACCCTCCAGCACGTCTATCGCATTAGCGCGCTGCCACGTTGTTGCTGCACCACGTTGTACCGCATCGGCTACGAAATGCATGACGTGTGCGTAGGTATGTGAATTTTCATTGGAGCAGCACCGACGCATAATTTTGCATAAACCAGGCCTGGATCGGTAACGACTGCGAGGCAGGCGATTAAATTACCGCTTGCTCGCGGTTAAAGAGAAACGCGCTTATCCCCCGCGGGTTGTCCTTGTCGAGCAGCCGGAGAACTCACCTCACGCTTTGATCGCTTCTGCTCCGCCTCGGGAAAGAACTGGTCGCCAAGCCACCATTGTAGATCTTGTTTAGACAGCTTCGAGAGATTTATCGATAGCGACACGGTTTTACGATCATTCCCCGAGTCTGGCCGAGTACAATAGAGAGTTGTGACTGTGCCCTGCTGTTTGTGTATCACGACGCCAGATACTTTGGCTTTTACGAGAGTTGGAGGATTTACGCGCGCGAGTAGGATGTTACGCTGCCCTCCGAGATTGACAGACCCTCCGCCTTTAAAATCGATACGGTCATAATCGACTGATAAACAGTCTTCGTTCCTTGTTCCAACCGATCGCGTACTTTTTAAAATAGCCGTATTTTTTACGCGTCGTAATTGTATCTCTGGTCTCCTGGCGCCACTCGTGTCATTATCTCGAATACTTCGTTTATTACTGTCGATCTCACGGGGACAAGATGACACGGAAAATCTCCGAAACGGAACGTGCTTGTGCTCGTGCTCGTTCGTTCGTTCGCAAGTCCTTCTCGTCTCTTTTTCTGCCAATTCACGCGCCCCCGTCTCGTTTTCGTCGATCTTCCAACCTCCCAGAGTATGGCTCGCAATATTTAAACCAGTGTATAGTGACAGAGCAAAGAATAAACACGTACACCGAGAAACATGTTGCCATTTCGAAGCACGTACGGCTGTTACGTCTATTTTGTCCTCCCGGAGGTACGTGCACGAGGGTAATGCTCCTCTGGCAAGGTGGATACAGTATCAGTACGGGCTTCGTTCAGAATTCCCTTCGAGACGAAATACGAAAGTGTTTGAAAACTATTGTCTGACCGAGAAAAAAAATCACAATTTTAATCATTTCTATATATAATTTTCCATCAGAAGATGCCTCAATGATCAACTCTGACCGAGATAAAACCTCAATCTTTTTTAATTATCTTCTATTATCCAATTTTTCAGTAAAACACGTCGCGATATTTAGAAATCAATGATCGTCTCCGCAGAGAAATGTTGGAATTTTGATCATTTCTTTTATTATTTAATTCTTCAGCGGAAGACATAATGATTATCTTCTTATTAAACTCACTCGTGCGAAAATCCAGTTCCTCGTGAAAAAAGGAACATTGCCCCTGAGAAAGCAGCCACCTTATCGAGTAACTTATACAAAAGGGGGGGTTCATTATCTTCTCAGCGGAGTCCGAGATGTCTTTCGGCTCCCGAATGTCTTTCTAACCCTCTACACCACGCTTCTATTCTTTCCTGAATAGCGGTCTCCTTATCTTCACGAGAGATTCGCGGACCGCTCTTTCAATTGAATTCCGCTCTGGGAATCGTGATCACCCGCCTCTCACAGTCTCACACGTACACGCGCACGCACTACTGTATAACCTAACACACAGAGACAGTCCAAGTATTTTCGCACAAACTCGTTTCAACCCTTGAACATACACGATCTCGTGCGAGACCGCAGATGTATGTGTGTCTGTACAACCAAACGCGTCAATACCAACACGTGGAAATTTATTTACGTACACTAGACCGCTGGTGTACGCATGCTTCTGGATTCTTGCGTGGGTACACAGTTATGTAAAGTTCATCCGTGTATACGTGGTTTCTCTCCGTTTGTTCTCCGCTTGGGAACGGCCACTACCAGACAAAAACTCGCAGTTCGCAAGAGACAGAAGAGGAGGTAGGGGGCGGTAGAACAAGGAAAGAAGAAGAGCGAGGATCAGCTTGTGGCGCAAATCAGGTTTAAGACTGTGTCAAATGACACTGGCCAGGACACAGCGATGGTCTCGAAAATCCTCATACCAACACCTCTTTCTTTCTACTTTCCTTTTTTTTTTTACCACTTGTTCGAAATCATGATGGGACGGTACGAGAGATTCACAGAGGTCGTAGGTCGCGTGGGAATGAAGAGAGTGAGTCGAAGCTCCATCACCAGATTACATGGGCCTTACACTTTTTTTCTCTTTTTTTTTTCTTCCTCTTCATCTTTGCATCTTCAAGGAGACTTTGCAGACCACGTTCGATTAGATTTTTCGAATTGACATTCAAGCAGCGGCGAGTGGTTTTTGATAATTGTCGAATTCCTCCGATTTACAGCGTGAAAGCATAGAGAACAAGCTTATCAGGTTCTTTCTTTTTTCCACGGTGTCGAGTAAGATGAGCTAATGTAGGGTGAAAACCAAGAAAGAGACATGTGACTCGAAAAAGGACACGTGTGGACATCCTTGCAGGACACATGTAGAACATTACGTAATCGTAAACCTCGAAGGATGTGGGCGGGATCTTCTTCCAGAAGCAAGTAGCCGTGTCTCGCGCGTGTTCGACCGATCAGCCGGGGCAGAACCTAACTAATCGAGCGGGACATCCGAGCAGATGTTACCATCTTTCACGGACAACTGTCCGGTCGATCCTTTCTGATTTTATCGCGCGGCATCGTTAGCCGTTTCCGAAAAGCAGACGCAGCCTGAATATTCCACGAATCCTCGAGCAATTGAAAAATGAACGACGCGCCGGGAAACGTCGAACTTCTGCGTACGTAACAAACGTATTAATTTGCTGGGTGAATAATGGCCGCCATTCGAACGTCTTCCTTTGGACGTAGTCATTCATCAGACGAGCATAGTTTCATATTATGTCACGCGACACTGTCAACTGTCAGGCGTGAATGTAGGTGAATGGCGCGAAACAGGCGGACATGTGTGAAATTAGCTTAATCTTTCAGCTCGGATGACAATGGTGATACAAACCGTGGTCCGTGTACTACACGTATCGTCCCGTGTACAGGGTGACAAATCTTTCACCCCATGGACATCCCTCTCCACCCCGTGTAAATACATTAGAGGATGATCTTTCCATTGGCGTCGACTGTCTCGCAAGTTTCTCCACTCACTCACTGCATTTGACGTTTAAACGTTTAGAAAAAACGGATTTATACTTTTCGAACGTATCGAGACGTATTGGTATAAATTGATGAAATCATCGAGATGTTCCACGTGGGCACAGAGTCAGATATCTAGGGCGACAGACAGGACTAGAGAATGATAAGGTCAATTAAAACAATTGCAGGCATTAATGGACAGACTCGTGTCGCCTTATCGCGTCGCGGGAGGACAAAACGGAGTTAATAAATTTTTACGATCGAGATTCTACGCCGTTGACAAACAGATATCGGTGGGGCTGTAATTTAACAATGAGCCAGCTGGCGCGTGCTACAGGGGAAAGGTTGCGACCCCTAATGTAGTTATATAGTGTACTTTCCTACACGCAGGCACACGTATTCGGGCGCGCGCACACACGCGCGAAATTTCACGCGGCGCGAGCGACAATAAGCGGGGATGCCTCAGCCCCTTTGTCACGGTGGTTCTCGCGTCAATGCACGTTCAATCTTTCGCCCGTTTTATCATCCCTCTGTCTCGTCCTCTCTTCTCGGCTTCCCTATTTTACGTCGCAAAACGGCAACAACACGAGTTACCTCTTCATCGAGCTAATTGAGTCGTACGTATTTTTCGGGGGACGAGAAATCAGGCCACTGTCGCAAAAATCGACCTTGGTACAACTTCGTGGTGAATTGTCGTGAATTTTTAAACATTTGATCATAAACATTTTTAACGACAACATTTTATAATACTATAAAGCTACTGTCTTTTTTATTTCTGACTTGTTTCTATCTTATCTAAAGATAAAATAAGTACATTAATGACTTTCTTGCGAAAATATTACACCAGGCGTGTTTTTGAAGCAAGATTCGCTCGAAAATGGGGAAAGAAAAATCACAGAGAATGTAAATGATTCATTCGAATTAAAATAAATTTGTGTTTCTTTTCCCACAGAGTCTTTTCGTCAAAGACCCGAATACAATTTCAATATTAGTATTTTTATTTAAAGAAATCCGCCGACAAAATCTTATATCATGTATTGACGTCTGTCAGTTTCAAAATTTAGTTTTTTAAAATTCAGAAATAATTCATCTTCTCTATGTTTCAGCTTTTAGTATTGAGCTATTTCAGTTAATATTTTCAGCATGTATCTCTCTCTCTCTCTCTCATTTTCATGAATTTTCACTTCAACTCTTTCCATTAAATCATTTGCTATCACCGTTGATCGATCATTTTTCTCTTCGTCGTGAATATCTCAAAACAAACAGTACTATTTATTCACTGATAACTAATTTCAACAGCACTGTTGTTTTTCACTAGCAAAAATTAGATAGCAACACATATTTTGCAATTGGCGAGATTGTTTGTTACTTGTACTTGTATCATAAATTATTGACGTGTGGTAATTAATGCAAATTTAACTACAAGACAAAATAAACAAAAGAAAAAAAACAGTATTTAAGAAATTAGAAAAATTAAATTTAATGATTCCAATTATCAAAATTAATAATTGGAATTAGAGTTCCAAGTAAGAAATATTTTTCTAAGTATTTCAAAATTGGCGACAATTCGAAGCAGCGCCTCATATTTTGCGGTAACTAAATTAACAACGACAAATTAATTATTCAACGATACAAACAAATCTCTTACATCTTTTCATAGTTACTTTTCCCCGATCGAACGAACGGATGGTATTCTTGTAAACATCGAACTCGTCCTAACTTGATACAGTTATGTTCATGTCGTATTTTCTTCTTATTCCTCGTGATTTATCGACGATGTAAGTCTTATCCTCCCGTTCGACACGTATGAATAATTGGGTCACGGAATAATTCCAACCCCACCCCGTTCAACGCATTATGTTCTCCGTTCGATCCCGGCCAGATTCTCTGACAACCCGCCCCCGAGCGTTATGATTAAGTAATAAAACATTTAGGCCCTTCTCCCGCGACCCCAAACTGAAAAACATCCCTCGACTGCTGCTTACGCGTCTCCGTACGACCGGTCGGCATGTGACTTCGCACGTATGCACGCACGCGAGTGCTTGCACACGCTCACGCTTGCAAATACATACGCGCGCGGACGGGAAAGGGCGTGACGACAGATGCAACGGAACATATCTACCCTCCATTGGGCGGTTCAGATTCTCTGCTGATTTTTTTTTTTTCTCCTCTCTTCTTTCTCCTCTTCGACGTCCTTCGTTCACGATCGTAGATAGGATCGTTGCGCCGAGCATTTCCAGACTCAGATCCCCGATCGTAATTTACGGTTTAGACTGTGCCAATCGAGCTGTCCGCCATTGTTGGCCTTCGACCATTGTTTATGAGAAACGTGCGCTTCCGGAACGACGGTGAATGCCTCTTGATTCGTCGAGAATCGTTTTAAATCGGAGAAATGTCCGAAGACTGTGAAGTAGTCTCGTTCGAAATCGATCGCGGGATTACATCCGTAAAGAAAGTCAATCCGTAGATATTACAAAATCGAAATGCAGAAAATTTAGTTTCCCGATCTGTTCCGAAAAATGTCTCGGAACTTTTTCCTATTCGATCGTTTTCAACATTTTGTCAAACAAGCCGTTATTGGCCGAAGCGGCGCGAGCAGCTCTCTGTTGCGTGTGCCGGGCCAATGGCACGAGCAACCGGATGCTCGTGCTTCCACCCTTGATTTATCGGTCCTCCGAAGCTCGCGGATTGCCCGTAATTCCAGTTATTTCGTCCTAATCCGAAAGTTCGTTCCTGTCCAGTTACCGAGATATTCCGCCCACCCTTCGAACTTCGAAGCGCGATTTCTTTCCCCATGTCTTCTGCTGTTCCCCCGAGCGAACTCGTTTCACCCCGTTCGCGTTTAGATCTACGCTCGGTTCGCCCTCTAAATTGTACTACCCGCCGAAATTGTGCCGACTATTTACGAGCTATCTCGTCGAAATGCTCGTCGACGGAAATTGAAATGTTGATGAGCTACCGGGCTGTGGAATTTGAAAGCTCGATTACAGGAAACGAGTCGATTCTAATTGCATTCCATTATCGACATATGACGAAGAATTGGAAATTATGCCACGTTGCGTATGATAGCGTATCGATATAATATACTCTTATTCGAAAATGAATATTTGTTCCCGAAAGTGGGAAAATTGAATACCTTACGTAACAAAGAATCTGTGAGGCATATTAACATATTAACGACATGAAATCGAAACAAATCCTGAATATTAAAAATACAAAAACGTCCTAAGACTTTTTTTCCGGTGGGATTTAAAAAATTTCCTCGTAATCTTCTTTCTATCCTGTTAGTCAACAGAGATTGATAAAATAGAGAGAGATCGCGTTTAAAAATATTTCCGTCGTAAATAAAATTTTCGTGCGATCGGTCGCAACAATACGTCAACCGGTATTTTTCGTTGGGGCCCCAGTCGGAATATCCAGTTTCTTCGTGGAGGAAGATTTCTTCAAGCTCCCCCCTGCTGATCTCTCGTAGGCGGATCCCTGTTCTTAAGGGAGTCTATACGCGACTAGTTGCGATAACCTGAAAGATCGAATACAATGGCGTATGGTTACCAACATCTGACCTCGTTCACAATGTCGTTATTAGAATATGAATGCGGCTAAAACTCGCGTGTCTTAACGGCACGCGACGCATTTCGCTTGCAATTCGGCTTCGAAGTCTGCCAGTTTTTCTCGTCTCCCGTGAATTATGTATTCCGCTCGTTCGGGACGAATATTTGCAGAAACGGAAGATAAGAAAGATATCCTCAAGTGGCTGAACGAGCAAATTCAAATGGCTTCTTCCTTTGAAGGTCCTTTGTAGACGTTTCTCACCTCCGAAGGCGAGAGAAACGGAGGGGACATTCCTCGTCGCCGCGGACCAAGGAAATTGTCGCCAGTCCTTCGACGATGGCCGACCGTGCGAAAAACAAACACGCCGGAAGTTTTCCCGGCGCACGAAAGAAAATGCAATCAACAAAACAGGCAGATAGTGGCGTGATCGGTGTGTACTGCCGTGCCGTCACTTCCGGCACGGACGATGGGCTGACGCATAATTTCCGGTCCGAGGCCTCCGACGATCCATCGATCAAACACTTTGGAACTCGAAGAAGCCACAATGTTTCTGCAGAGATATCCGGACCCGTTTTTGCGTCCCGTTGGTTCTCGTTAACGCGATCGATCGGTGCGACGGTGCTCCACGAAGAACCATCCCTTCGAGACGAAACGAGTAGGGGGCGGGGGGAAAAAGAGAAGGGGAAAAAAGCAAGACGCAAACGTATGAAATATATACTGGAAATATACTTTATATATCTTCTCTTTCTTCTTTCGAGCGTCTTTTTTATCTTGTTTACCATTTTCCAAGAGTATTTAACCGATCGCGAGGTTAATAAAACCGATCGTTTCGGTTTCCCTTTTACAAACGAGTATTTTATTAGTCGATGCTATTGACTTAGGATCTGATATATAGCCGCGTGGAGAAAAGAGGCGCTTTTTTTCGACGAGACGAGGAAAGAAAAAAAAAGAAGGAAGAAAAAATACATTTCACTGACTTATCATCGTCTCGTGGAGGTGGCGCGCTCCTTTCGGCGACTCGTAAGCCCTGGGCTTTTCGGAGCTGCGCAGGCGGTAATTATTTGGAACCCTTTGATGGACGTCCTCTCGAAACTGGAACGTTCGTCTCTGCGGTCTCAGATTGCTCCATAAAGAAACTCGGACGTTCGCTTCGAGCCCTCCTACAACTACTGTGTCCACCGAGTAAGTCGAACACCACCACCGCGCTTCTCGAATTCGAAGCTTCATTTCACGCCTGCCTGCCTGCCGCATAACTGCCCGGCCAACATCACCGAGAATCCTGCGAGTCAGTCCTTCGCATAAATCATCTATGGGACACGAACGTGACTCGGTCACCAGACAGTTTGTGCGTTCGTCGCGATACGTCGGTGTTTGCTCTGAAATATTTTCGAGCAGCCTTGATTGTCCATTGTCGGTACCGTCATTTAAATTTTCCTAGCTGAGGAAGCTCGTATATCTGAGATATTTTTCACGTTACGATTAATTCCGTTAGAAACCGTTTGATATAGGAAGTATTTTTGTCAAAGTAAAAATGCAAGAGACGACGACACAACGCGAATTATTTATAATTTAAATTATGACTTATCGTAAACGCGATGGTTAAACTGAATCGAATAGTTAAGAGCTGATCGTATCAACGGTACACGGCTAAAGCTACCTCCATCGAGTCGATCGCTTTCGCGAAATGCGATTAGCGGTAAGAAAGGGAAACCATTCGGATGAAACGGAATCGAGAAGGAAGAGAGCTCGACGAAATTGCAGACGGGTAACAGGAAGCCGGACGATATCTCGAAACAATGCGCGTCGTTAGAGGAGTAATCAGGAAACCGGACCGTTGTCCACGATGATCCCGGATGTCACCGACTGTGGCCTCTTCAGCTTTATCTGGCGCAGTGCAAACAAGGGTCACAAGTGTCTCTCACAAGGCTTCTCGGAGCACAGCAGTTGGTGCTTCTTTATCTCGACGAGTTGTTTAGGCTGCTGGGGCCCTCGTGACACATTCAGGAACATCATACGAGCAATCCGACTGTCTCACGCTGCACAGGTGGTCCAAAGAAAGAAACTCTCTCTCTTTGAGGCGATTCGTTTAACTGCGAACCATGGCCTCCGGATTATCATTCAGCCGTGTTTGCTCGAACCTTCTCAAAATATACCCACTTCTCGTGGCTGTATCGCCAAGCTCTGCTACCAAACACGATTACATTGTTATGACTGTTTTATCTTTGCCACAGGCAAAATTTCGATTCAATTCAAGTCGGACCTTGATCGGCAAAGACCATTTTCGATACGATCTCCTTTCGCGGCTTACTACTTTGAGCTTTCGCTATCTATCTATCTGTCGATATAATTTCACATAAAAATGTATTTATGTGATCAGCCGCGCGTCAACAAACGAGTATCTTCCATATTGATTCAGAGATTAGTCGTCAATAATTTTTTTGAATCGTGTTGTAGCGAGCGACGTTGTAGGCAGGCCCGATCGTACCGCGAGCCATTGACACGTTTGCCTCACTATCATATCTTGCTCATTAGTTGCCATTAGCGTAACGTTCTCGGTGTCACAGCAACTTGCGGTTACGGCTGCGCCACCGCGATACAATTTATCTTCCGGGTCCGGATTCTTCTCTCTGGGGAACTTTATCGCGACTGTTGCAACTTGTTAAATGTCTCTTGGTCGGCTGTGCCTCTTCGAATAAATTTTCATTTCGCTTTGACAGAGGTTTCAGTCTCTTCTCACAATCAGTAGAAATGGTAAAAATAGTATAACGACAGCAATGAAACGAGTCGTTATACAAGAATTCCTTTCTCGCCTAATCTATGACACACGCGCGACTGACGTAATACCGTGCGACAATGTTGTTATCAATCATCCAGGTAAGTGTCATTCGATGAATTGTTGAACGACGGAATACTTATGTCACCTTCAACATGTGCCGTTCCGACGTGATAATGACAAAGGGTGGCCGAAAAGATAAAGCGAACGTTTCGTCACCTCCAACGTTTTCGGCTGATTTCTCAGTAAACAGTTGGGCGCTATGCATGCGGTTCTTGTATCTTTTGTACCGGACACACCTGTTTTTAGCAATAAGTGTGCCTACAGTTCTCACAAAGTGTTTGAACTCGGAGTGCGAACCTTTCGACCTTTACTTGGACGGTGACGTTTTCTTCTAATATGATATTCAGGGGCATTCGTAAGTACCGATCTTCGGACAAACGTCGTTCAATCCAGAAATATATTTCTCGTTAGATATTCAAATTGCGACAGTTAAAAAAGTGTCAGATACTTGGAGAAAGCTTCTAAATTAGTAGAACTAAATTTCAATACCCGATTAAACGAACTCTTGTTGGCTGGAATCCACTTGTTTGAACCTGAACTTCTACAATACGAACAAAAAATCGATAACAGAAGGAAGAATTGAACTCCTTTTTTCAAAGTTCATATAAGCGAGGTTCTATCGTATATTATTCTGCGCTCAGAAAACGTGATTTCCACCGTCAGAATGGGAAAAGGCTGAAAGAAGAGAAAAGGAAGAGGAAGAGGAAGAGAATCGGGAGAGATGGAAAGAATCGGTGCTGTAATTTGTGTCGTTTCTTGTTCGGCGAACTTCACCAAGTAGTCATTTGCCTTATCGACTCTCACCCTCTGTCGTTCTTCCTTCTCGCTTTAGCCACTTTTCTTTTTCCACTCTCTGCCTTCTAGTCGGCTCGAGGAGTCGTCCTTGCCGTGGAAAAGAAGAGAACAGGCTGTGACACGCAATCTCTGAAACTGATTCGCATGCCTCCGTTGTATCTCGACGTGAAAAAAAAAGAGAAAAAGAAAAAGAGAAAGGTCCTCCATGGGCATCTTGATAATAGGAGGAAGAATTACGTCGATAACCAACCGGGCTAAATGATCGTCGATTAGGTCCTAGCACGATGCCCTACATTCTTTTCAGCCAGCTGTTCGACGGTCCGCTTTCCACTTAATTCGTCGTGTCGCATTCCACAACCCCTTTCGACACGATCGAGGCTTTTATTCCACTTGGTTCCACGTTCGCTCCGACTCGTGTTCGCGTTCAAACGTCCAGAGAAACAGCCGTGGAAAGCCGGTTAATTTTCAGGATGAAACATTCTTCTGTTCTACAACCAATAATTGTTGGTCGTCTAGATTTATTACAACGACGACAGTTTCTTTTTTTTTTTTTCATTTCAGCAGTAATCGATATATCAGCAGTGGCTGCCAGAAATTTCCGATCAAGGGGTAAATTTCTGGCAGCATTCTACATTCAACATTCTGTCATTGAAAACAGAAGAATTTCTAAAAATAAAAATCTATATTGCAAATTGTCTGTCTATTTGTATAGATTGAAGAGGCTTAATTGAATGTAGGAAGCAAGAAAGAAAGAGAAAAGTATATTTATCGAAGCATCAAGTCCTTCGTTTTGAACGTTTTTGCTTGAGTGTTCAGAGGAAATGTCTGTGTCTCTTAAAAAATTTTAAGAAGCAAGAAGAATTTTATCGACGTGCAAATTAGATTCAAATAGAATTTCACTCTAGCCTAGAGAACTTTTGTGCCAGCCGCTCTATGTATATATATCTCTGCGTAGTCAACGTTCAAAATAAATCCCAATAGAATGTTTCATTGATACGGGTGTATCAGAAATCAGACATCTTTCGATTTCTGATATACAATAATCTTCGACTGTCCGCGTTATCCGTCGCATCGAACGTTTATTTCGTGTCTGACAAGACAGATCTCGATCGCGCAGATAGAACCGCACGTCCATCGGGACGTACACGATAAGATTAGCCAGGCTCGATTTAGAAACTAGCGAGCCGAGTTTGCTAAATGCCAGCAATGCTTATTTTTGGAGAGTTATTAAACTCTCCAGCGTTTCCGCGGCGCTTGTATTTTTATTACTCGATCCGCATCGTGAAAGAACCGTAATCCTGGCGAATCGACATGATCAGACATCGAATTTCCGCGGTTACGCCAAAGTTCGACATTACGTGAATCGAATACTTGCATTTTCATTAACGGTTGCCCGTTATCACAGATATTGAGATTTAGATAATGATCGCGCAATAAAAAAACCGGACGGATTTTACAATTGCTCGTAATTAAATCGCCGATGTTTGTGCAATTTCATTTTACGAGCGATAAGGTTATTCAATAATTATCCGTAACGTGACATTTTTTTGATATATTAGACGTAGCATTAAATAGTATTTATGTATTTATGTATCAGCATTGATTTATCATAGATTCATCGTATCATTTATCATCATGTATGGATTTAGACCTTTTAGTTCTTTTTATTTATCGTGATAGTAACAATAGTTGAACCATTTTACGTTTGCAGCCTAAAGAAAAGCAGCTCTAATTTCGTCTTTGTAGTCTGTAGAGATTCAAGGAGTTGAAATTTTAGAAGATATTTCAGACTTTCAGCACATATTCTGAAGATAATATTTTTCCTTCGTGTAATGTAAATGGATTAAGAAATTCGTAAATGATCGCATAGAACAGAGAATATTGGCAGAGAACATTTTTCTAAAGCTTGTACAAAACTGAAATAAGCAAGTGGACTACAGCAGAAAATAATGTTGTAAAAACCCTGCTGTCATTCATAAAATATTCATAAATATTCGTATTCATAAAACAACGT